ATGGATTACTGACATACAGAAGACATGATGGATGGATCAATACCTTTATTCATTTTTTCCTTTTTTTGAAATTGTATGTTAGCATGTCCAAAGGGGTTGGGCAGCCAGTTGACCTTGAACCCCTAGAGTTTTTGGTTCCTCTCCTCCATTGTCTTCTGGTCTTTTCTGTTCTGTATTCACAACATGTATGGTCACTTTGTTTAAGTGCCTTGGGGCAATTGAATTCAGACATCCAGGGTGGACAGCTGAGTCTTAGGTGTATTCTCATAAATTATATCCCCATAGTCCAGGAGACTCAACAGTGACTCAGATATGCTTGTCTTTCTAATGTTCATTGTAAACATGCTTTAGACCTATGCAGTATCCCAAGCTTATAATAAAAGTTTCTGAAGATACTGTATTTCATAAAACTTTATTCAGAGTCATCCTGAAACCCAAAGTATTCTATACAATCAAGCTTTTCAATTACAGATTTCACATCTCTCCTCTAGACAGCCTACCATTTTCTATTATTGATTAGGTTCTATTATTTCTCGGTGTGTCTTGTTTGTATTTTGGTTTAAAAGATTTGCATCTTCGTAGTTTCTGGCTCAGTTTTCGAATATGGATGTCTAAAGGCCCACCTACCTCCAGGCTTGGATGAAGCCTCAGCGCATATGCCTTCATCCCATACATCCTGACCTCTGAGCCCGGGGCTTGGAGCACCTTCCCAGGGATTTGGTTGCCTTGGCATTTTCCCCATGCACTGGATCACTACAGTCGCCACCCACTATCTGTCAATCTGTCGTACCCCTGCTGTTTATTCCCCTGATGTCCTTCTTCAGACTCTTCTGGATTTTACCATCACACATAGGGTCTTTATTACACACTTCACGGGAGTCTGACCAGGCTCCCGTGACATTCAAGTCCTTTACCATTAGTTGTATAAATAATAAAAGCAGTTCTCACCCTTTGTCTTGTACCAAATACCATGATATAAGGTTTTGTTCCTTATTTCAAATCAAATTATTTACCCATAACCACTAATGCACTAAATTAAAGCCAGTTTGTAAAGAAACTTGTATATGTGACAAATTTGAGCTAGAGGTGTGTAGAGGCGAGGCTTATTAATAAGACAGAATTAAGTGTTGCTGTGCTTTCCCAAATGAGGCCTCATCTCTCTGTACATCTCTGTGGTGCAGCCACAGAGAAGCTATTCATGCAGGCTGATTTAAAGATGTTTTCTTTTGATAAGGGACAGCTCCCAAAGGGGGATGCACTTA